TTATATATATGTGTGTGTATATGTATGTGTGTGTATGTACTTGTTTGTCTTCTAAATTTATATGTATATTTACATACATATATTATATATATATATAAACTCACACTGAAAATTTTTAAAAACCAAGGTGACGTGTCCACCAGAAGCCACTGGGAGCTTTCAGAAAGGAAAAATGTTGGAAACTGACTCTTGTCTACAAAATTTGGCAGCTGCAACATACATGGCAACTCATTTTCACTCACAGAAGCACGTGCTGGGGCCTCCTGTGTTCCCACCTTACTGTTCGCCAACAGCATAAGCTAAAATGACAGGTCTCTGTCATCACCTTTAGGTAGCTCATTTTGTTTATGTTTTCACTTGTGGGTGGCGGGGCTCTGGGTTTGGGTTTATGTTCTTGCCTTTTCTTTTTTCATTTGGTTTTATGATGGGAGGGAGCTCCTCGGCCTCCTCATTGACATTCTGGTCCGGCTGAATCAGATCTCTGACTTAAGCCAGGGTGGGTTGTCTGTCTGGATTGGGGGGATTGACCTTTCTCCCTCTCCACCTGACTTCAGCTTGAGATCTTTTTTTATTCACTTCCTGATGAGGGTTCCTTCACTGTCCTACAAACAAAAGTGTCGGTCAAACTGTGACACTGCCACACCTCACCTCTGTTGCCTCGTCCATCCCTGGGTTGTGGATCCCTTCCTCCCAGCCCCCCTAGAAATTCCCGATATTACCCATTATACTGAAGGCAACATTGCCTCACCGCCGAGCTTGAAATCCTGGGGAAGGGAGAAGGGGTGAGCTCTTAGCATTCCTGTTTATACGAGGTAGAGGATAAAACAATACAATTCCATTCCGATCCAGGGCTTTTGGGGAGATAAAGAGCCAAGAAGTCCAGACCCCAATAGGGGAGTGATTTTTGGCTAAAAAATAAGTAAAATGAAAAGTACGTATTCGAGTTACATTATTTATACTCTTTCTTTATAATCATATCATATGTTGAGGGTTTTCTTTTTCTTTAATAATCAAGAAATGCCTGCTATAGTTCAGTGGCAGGAGGTGTCAATGCAAATTGTGCCCTGAGTTATACATAACTCAGATGAGAGTCTCTAGAGATGTGGTCCTTCTTTTGCAACAAGGCTGATAACATGCTCCATGGTCATAGGAAACTGGGGAATGTGTCTCTGCCTGTAAACTCTTCCTTTTTTGAACAGGATAGAGATGTCCTAAAGAAATGGAGAAAAGAAGAGAGGACTCTCAAGGCATCAGCCTACACACACACACACACACACAATCACAATCACAATATACAATATAAGCTTTAGAAATAGCCACTTGCCTACTCCCTGGGGCAAGTAGTGTTTTAAACTAGAGGAGTCTGATCAATGCTCTTTCATTCATTTAACTACCGGTATACCTCGCAAGGGAGTTTTAAAAAATGTGCGTGAGCTGTTAAAAACTTCTGTTCATGTTTCTACATCTGATTTATGCATATTTTATATGCAGAGATCCTATCACGTGGATGCAGGTCATTTTGGGGTAGGGGGAGGAAGATCTGAATTATATACACGTGGTCAGTTCTGCTGAGAGCTTCATCTCTTGGTTGGCAGAGGGTGGTGTGGTCTGGCCACAGGCAAGGCCCCAGTGTCTTCAACCTGCTTGGTTCAGACATTATAAAACTGTGGTGGCTTCCTTCCTTCTTGGTTTATGTTGTCTCTGAGGCCTCATGCCACCGTTGAGAACCATAGTGGAAATGTCATCAACACTGAACATGTTATAGCCCTTTCTTTGTCCCACCAGTCCCTTCATCCCCCACCAATCCCTTCCCCTTCACCCCCATGGTCTTGGTGCTAAGATAACTTTAGAATCATTGCTGCTAGTCAATAGCTTTTCATTATATAAATATATTATATATATTATATATTATTTTTGAAACATTTTTGTTTGTTTTCAACAGTGATGTAGCATGTTAGAAAAACAAAACAAAACAAAACAAAAACCTGGGCTCCTCCAACTGTCCCACTGCCAGGCCTCATATGCTGCCTTCTTCAACAAATCAATGCACCCCTGCCTGGTGACATCCACCCCACCCTCCACCCCAGTTGCACACATGCTTCCCCACCCTCCTCTGAGCAAGAAGACAGTTAGCAGGAACGAGCAAGGAAAGGCTGAAAGCCCCCTTCTGAGGCTCTGAGGTTCCCAGCCCCGTTCCACTTCCCCACTTTAAACTGATGTCTCCCTCCATCTGCTCCTCCCATCAGGGTCAAAACCTAACTGTGGTCAAGTGGGATGCTGTTACAAAGCACCAGGTCCCACGGGGCCCAGCCCCAGCCTCGGGACTTCCTGTCCCCTCACACATGCAAACTGCTGTGTCTGGGGAGTTTCACTGAGCATTGCAGAGACAAAGAAGGGTTGAGGGCAGAGATGGCTGGCAAGACAGGGCTTGGTGAGGGCAGAAACAGTAGGTTGGGATCCTTTCTTCTAGCCAACAGTTGCCTTACACCTTACATTGGGTAATGGGTAGGGAGGAGCAGGCCAAGGCTCCCACTCATTTGAAAACCAGGAAGAGAGAACCAGTGTCTTCTTGAGCACCTGGTCAGTTGGGGCTACGCTTTTTCCTCTCAAGAGATCATGGCCAAAATGAGCTAAAATCTTCAGCTAGAAGGGGTAAAGCTTATGAGCCAGTGCCAGTGCCAGTGCCTACCCTGTAGCCCCTGATAAAGCTGAGAGCAGGTGACCTGCTTCTGGCCTAACAGAATGAGCTGCTAGGCACAGCACGCAGCTGCAGGGGTCACCTCCTCAGCTGGCCAGCAGACCTTGCAAAAGCTAACCTTTCAGGTGGTCCTGAAGTTAGGTTAGGGCATCCCTGAAACTCTGGGTGCTTGTGGCTTCTGCTAAATTTAGCCATGCCAGGGCTGTGGCAGGCACTCTGTAGGCCACATTGCCTTGGGACAGGGAATAATTTGGGTGATACACCACTGCAATTTACACGGGGTCTCTTCTCAGCTTGGATGTTTCCTGGGAGGCCCAGTGCTTCTGTCCTGTGAATTCTGCGTGTGATTACCCATGATTTCTGTCACAGGCATTTCTCACTGTTCTGCTTGCTTGAGAAGGACTTGGACTGATAGGACACTGAGAGTCTAGCCCAGGGAGCCATATGCTTGGCTAACCTAATCTCCCCTTGATGTGTATACAGAACTGTGGAAAAGCAGTTGGTGCATCCCAAACGTGGTTACTTCAGACAAGACAGAGCTCTTTAACTCAGTCTCTGGCTTAGGAGTGATGACTACAGGCTTAGAATGAAATGTGTCTCGGGCTGAGACTTGACATAACTGGGCTGGCTGATTAGTGACTTTCTTTGGCTCATGGGGATGGTGGGAAGTGAGATCAACCTTGAGGCCCAGGTTTGTGGCCAGTTGTGCCAAGAAGATACCTGGCAGAGCCTGGGAGCCAGGGCCCTTATGATTCACATGATCTGTTTTTCCTTCATGGAGGACAAAATAAAAGATCCACTGCCATCTAGTATCTGTGAACCATGAGGACAGCCCAGCCATGTCTGTAACTCTTGCCATGTCAGAATACCCAAGTTTTGCCTGCCTGGTTGAATATGAGAGTCCAGGCATCAAAAACAGCAGTCTTATTTAATTTTTTCAATGACTGGCCTTTGACACCTTGTGATGCTGGGCACATCCTCATTTCCCCATTCTCACTTGGGACTGAGAGCAGACTCCAGCTCTGGGGTCCCTGGATGGCAGGGTTCAGTGCTGGGCCCCGGAATCTATGGCACTTGGAGGTCTCTGACCTCAGCCTCTGCCACATGTTTCCAAGTTGAGTTCTTTTGCTGAACCCCCTTCCCTTGAGTTGCTTATGCCAACCCTTTAATTTGGGAAAAGGACCTTGTAATTACTTAAGGTAATGTTTAAATGTTTTCCATTCATTTGGAGGTGGTGCCAAAAGCGGGGAAAGCACGCAGAAGGCTGGAAACGATAGCTGACAGCCTGCCGTGGGCCCACAGCCCTGGCCCAGCCTGCACTGAGGGGCTTGTGCCATGTTACTTGATCACCTGGAGCCTGATGGGACCCAGGAGGTAGCCTGAGGGGTTGAAGTATAACTTCCCTCTTCTGGATGCCCCCTTTCACTTTTCCTTCTCCCCGCTCTGGGAATGGGAGGTCTAAACCTAGGTCTGCTTTTGGCTTTCAGTCTGGGTTGATTTCCAAGTAGAATTCATGCTTTTTCTTGGCCCATAGGTCCAACTTTTGGCAGAAGGCATTGGACTTGTGCCTCTTCCCTGCTTCAAGAGGCAGATCTAGCCAGGCCAGGCTGGAACAGCTGAAACAGGCAGGCCAGGCCTCTTCAGACAAGAAAGGGTTTTCAGAGGGCAGTGGTGCATCCATTCCAGACACCAGTCTTCTGGGGAAGTGGTGCTGTGTCATGGGTTCTAGTCTGGCTTCTTCCTCGGTCCTCAGGAGGACTCAAGAGACTGGCACAGCCCTTCTGCTTGGAGGGCAACCCATCTCCCACTTGGTGGGGGCCCTTCTCTTGCCGTCTGTTGGTTAGGGTGCTTGAGCTGAGTGGATGGTGCTGTGATGTTTTTAAGGAGCCTTTGAGGCAATCTTTGCATGTTAGCCAGAGGGAGAAAAAGTGCCCTTTTGGGAGGAAAATGGTACACCCCTCCGCTTCCATCTGGCACTCCCTTCCCCCCACCCCCGCAAGTGGTATCGCCCTGGAAATACCTATGCAATCCAGTCTCCCTAGGAGAGAGTGCATGGAAGCAGGGGCATGTGCAGTGTAGAATACAGATGCTACAGCATATATGTTGTATATATGGACATATACAGTATGTATACACACA